GCTCTAACCAAATTTATTTTTCAAAGATTTCAATTTAATGTCGAAGCTGTCCCTGATAGATATTATTTGGAAAAAATCAAGCAAAAGACCACGGAGGACTATTGTGAATATGCGTGCCGCTGGAGGAAAGAAGCTGCAAAGGTACAACCTGTGATGAATGAAAGAGAAATAACCTCTGCTTTTATTCGAGCTCAGGAGCCCGAGTATTATGAAAGGATGTTTCCCATGATGGGACAGAAGTTTTCGGAGCTAATCAGAATGGGAGAAGCCATAGAGGATGACCTCAAGTCTGGAAAGGTTACAAGTCTCACTGCTTTGCAGGCCGCCAACAAATCCTCACCATCCATGGCCACATGATTCACTATGAAAAAGAAAGAGGACGTGTCTGCTGTATCTTTTAGCCCGAGGCCAAGGCCGCAAAGGTATTTTGGGTCTGGTTCTGCCATTGGAAACTCCAACCGATTCCGCACCTCAAATATTTACCCACCATCTCCACAAGCTCCAATCCCAATCTACTATGCACAACATAATTATCAAGCACCACCGCCTATCTACCAAAATCAACCACCAACCTACCAAAATACACTACCAAATCACCAAGCCAATGCACAAGTCTACCAAAATCCAGGACAAAACAACCCAAATGCCAACAATCTACCCCGTCCTAACCTCGAAAGAATGCCTCCCAGAGTTTTCACTCATTTGGCAGAAACACATACCCAACTCTTTGAGCGTTTAAGAGCGGCAGGATTGATTCAACCAGTAGATGCAAGGACAATTAATCCCACAACAAAGTTCTTCCGGGCGGATCAACGTTGTGCGTACCATTCTGGAGGGGCAGGACATGATACAGAAGGGTGTATCAATCTGAAACATAAGATTCAAGGCTTGATCGATAACAGAGTCATCACTCTCCAAGCCCCTGCCCCCATTGTGAACCTTAACCCATTGCCGAATCATGGAGGAGCTACCATCAACATGATTGAAAGAGATGAGGATTGGCTTGCTAATGGGACTATCGGTGAAGCAAATGTCAACTTAGTTATACCAACAGTAGCCTCATTGACCATAAATGTCCGTCCAGAGTTTGTTGTAATAACTGCACCTCATCAAGCATTCGCTTTGACAAAGAAAAGCAGCAACGAGAAGCCCAAAGAAAAGTTTATCATGCAGGCGGCTACCGCACAAGGGATGACACGTTCTGGAAGATGCTACATTCCAGAAGAACTAACTCAGGAGACACGAAGAAAGGAGAACCAAAAAAGGCTGATCACAGAGGGTGAAGCTGAAGAGTTTTAGCGAAGAATGCAGCCTAAGGAGTATTCCATTGTCAAGCATTTGGAGAAGATTCCCGCTCAAATTTATGTTCGGACTCTATTAATGAGTTCTGAGTACCATCGAAAAGCACTGTTGAAGGTACTTGGTGAAGCGTATGTACCGACGGGAACAAGTGGTGAGAATCTGGCCACTATGGTAAGTCTTGTCATTGGGAGTCATCAAATCTCTTTTCGAGAAGAGGAGTTGCCACTCGAAGGGGTGATGCGCAACCGTGCCTTATATATCACCGTCAAATGCAGGGACAAGTTTGTAGCGCGAGTATTGATTGATAATGGCTCAGGACTCAATATCTACTCATTATCAACCCTTACTCAACTAAATTATGATGTAGGGAAAATCCATCAAAGTCGTAAGAATGTAAGGGCGTTTGATGGTTCGCAAAGAGAAACCATGGAGGAAGTAGACTTGTGTATCCAAATGGGGCCTGCAGAATTTGTCACTGAATTCCAGGTGATGGGTATATCTACAAGATACAATTTATTGCTAGGAAGACGATGGATCCATGTTGTTGGAGCAGTCCCATCCACATTGCATTAAATTTTGAAGTTCATTTGGGAAGATCATGAAATCGTCATCCATGGTGAAGGGAGTAATCATAGCTACCCTGGCTTCTCCATTCCAGTTATTGAAGATTCTTCTCAAGGTACTGACTTTCACATGGTGGAGATAATGAATGCTATTTTTGAAGGTACGACACCACAAGTACCAATGCCGCTAGTGTATAAAATGCTAGCCACGACTATGCTAAGAAATGGTTTTGAACCTGGGCGTGGGTTAAGCAAGAATTTGGATGGCATATTCGAACCTCTTCCTATACCACTTCAAAATTTCCACTTCGGCGTCGGTTATACCTCAACAGAGGAAGAATTGTTTGAAGCAGAATAAAGGAAGAAGCATGACTGTGATATACCAAAGCCTATTCCAGTATTGTACCAGTCATTTGTTGCTAAAGCTTTAGAGCCTGAGATTAATGGTCTAGTGGAAGGGATGTGAAGATTGTGTTATGATCTCGGCAGAATGCACAACAACACCCACCATCCGAGATGCCGTACCTGGAGAGATGCTACAGAATTGGATGGCCACTCCACTTATGATCCATCGAATGGCTTGGTAGACAAAGACAAGATTTGAAGTTTTATTTTTGAAATCAGTGTTGTTCGGACGAGGCCCGAAACCACCATTTATGTCACTTTATTTTCTATCGTAATGTTTAAAAAGGAAATGACTCATGAGTCATGACCAAAGTTTGTATGCCTTTTTAAAATTCCAATGAAGCCTCATTTATTTTAAATTGATTATCTTGTCATTGCGAATTATTCTGCAATAAATACATTTAAACTCTTTCTATCTAACATGGTTGATTTGTTGTTCTTTTTAGTAAAAATGAATATAAACCTGCCAATGTCATGACATGTCATGAACACGACGAACCAAATAAGGTCGATGAAGATGAATGTGAAGAATATGATGAGGAAACTATGATGCCCGAACACCTTACCGAGGACTTGAGGCAACTTGAAAATGATGTAAAGCCCAACCTAGATGAAAAAAAGAAAATAAACTTGGGAGATGGCGAGTCACTTAGAGAAAGCTGAGTCAGTGTCCATTTGGAAGCGATAGAAAAAGAAGAATTGGTCAAACTACTCAGACAATACATCGATGTGTTTATCTGTTCTTATGATGATATGCCAGGGTTAAGCATTGATATCGTTTCCCATAAGTTGTCTGTCAATTCAGAGTACTGTCCAGTAAAGCAGAAAACCAGAAAGTTCATGCCCGATCTGAGTTTAAGGATAAAAGAGGAGGTCATCAAGCAGATCGAATCAAAAGTCATTGAAATAACCAAGTATCCCACTTGGCTGGCTAACATTTTTCCAGTGGCGAAGAAAGATAGAAAAATCAGGATATGCATGAATTATCGGGATCTCAACAAAGCGAGTCCGAAAGATAATTTCCCCTTGCCGAATATCCACATACTTATCGATAATTGTGCTAGGAATGAGCTGCAATCTTTTGTGGATTGCTTTGCGGGATACCACCAGATTCTAATTGATGAAAAAGATGCAGAAAAAATAGCATTCATCACACCTTGGGGAGTCTACCATTATCGAGTGATGTCGTTCGGCCTCAAGAATGCTGAAGCCACTTACATGAGAGCTATGACCACCATTTTCCATGATATGATCCACAAAGAAATTGAGGTGTATGTGGACGATGTCATCATAAAATCCCGCGAGAGTTCGGATCATCTGACACACTTGGAAAAATTCTTTAACAGGTTGCATAGGTATGATTTAAAGTTGAACCCAGCCAAATGTGCATTTGGTGTACCTACAGGGAAGTTACTCGGATTCATAGTTAGCAGAAGAGGTATCGAGCTGGATCCTTCCAAGATCAAGGCAATTCAAGACTTATCTCCTCCAAAGACTAAGAAGGAAGTAGTGAGTTTTTTGGGGAGACCGAATTACATTAGTCGGTTTATAGCTCAATCAACGGTGATATGTGAGCCTATATTCAAGTTACTATGAAAATATGCGCAAACCAAATGGACCAAAGAATGTCAGAAGGCTTTTGACACCATGAAAAGTTACCTTTCGAATCCACCAGTGGTGGTGTCGCCACGTGCAGGCAGTCCTTTGCTATTGTATTTATCCATCTCCGACAATGCATTCGGGTGTGTGTTGGGACAACATGATGAGACCGGAAGAAAGGAAAGAGCTCTATACTATTTGAGCAAAAAGTTCACATCCTATAAGGCTCGTTACACCCTTTTAGAGAGAACTTGTTGTGCTTTGACTTGGGTTGCTCAGAAATTGAGACATTATCTGTCGGCTTATACAACACATCTCATTTCGAGGATGGACCCGCTCAAGTACATATTTCAGAAAGCAATGCCCACAGGAAAGCTAGCAAAGTGGCAAATGTTGTTGAGTGAGTTCGATATTGTGTACATGACTCAGAAAGCAATCAAGGGGAAAGCTTTGGCCGATCACCTTGCTGAAAACCCAGTAGATGAAGGATATAAACCGCTTAGAACATATTTCCCTGATTAAGAAGTATTGTTTGTAGGGGAAGACATATCAGAATTATATCCTGGGTGGAGAATGTTCTTTGATGGAGTAGTAAACTCTATAGGATCAGGAATTAGAGCAGTGTTGATATCTTAATCGGGGCAACATTATCCAGCAACAACAAATCTTAGATTCCGATGCACTAATAACATGGTTGAGTACGAAGCATGTATTCTTGGCATTAGAATGGCTCTTGACATGAATGTTCAAGAATTATTGATAATTGGTGATTCAGACTTGTTGATTCATCAAGTTCAAGGAGAATGGGAGATGAAGAATCCTAAAATCTTACCTTACGTACAATTGGTACGGAGATTATGCAAAAGATTTAGAAAGACCGAATTCAGACACACACCGAGAATATAGAACGAGCTTGCTGATGCCCTTGCAACCATATCGTCCATGATACAACACCCAAAAAAGAGTTATATCGATCCATTTGAGATAGTTTTAAAAGAACAACCAGCACATTGTTCATATGTAGAAGCAGAATGGGATGGGAATCCATGGTATATCAATGTGAAAAGTACTTAGAAGCTGGCGAATATCCAGAAAAAAGCAACAAGTATTCAGAAGAAAACAATCTCAAGAATGGCAAACAACTTCTTTTTTAATGGAGAAGTTCTTTATAAGAGGACACCCGATCTGGGATTACTGAGATGTGTGGATGCTGCAGAAGCCACAAAATTGCTTGAAGAAGTGCACGCTGGAGTGTGTGGGACGCACATGAATAGGTTTACATTAGCAAAGAAAATCTTAAGGGCGGGATACTTCTGGATGACTATGGAAAATGATTGTGGCCGATTTGTCCAAAAATGTCATAAATGTCAGGTACACGAAGATCTGATCAAAGTACCACCCCACGAGCTCAATGTGATGAGTTCCCCTTGGCCATTTGCAGCCTGGGTCATGGATGTTATTAGACCGATTGAGGCTGCTGCCTCCAATGGTCATAGGTTCATTTTGGTCGCCATTGATTACTTCACAAAGTGGGTCGAAGCTGCTTCCTACAAAGCTGTGACAAAGAAAGTTGTGGTTGATTTTGTTCGCAACAATTTGATATGTCGTTTTGGAGTTCCAGAGTCTATCATCACAGACAATGGAGCAAATCTGAATAGTCACTTAATGAAAGAGATATGTGAACAATTCAAAATTACCCACCGCAATTCAACTGCATATCGCCCTCAGATGAATGGAGCTGTGGAAGCTGCCAATAAGAAAATCAAGAGAATACTGAGAAAGATGATTAACAACTACAAATGTTGGCATGAAAATTTGCCTTATGCTTTGCTAGGTTACCGCACCACAATCCGAACCTCAACTGGAGCAACTCCTTACCTATTAGTATACGGAACAGAAGCAGTGATACCAACTGAAGTTGAGATACCATCTTTAAGGATTTTTCAGGAAGCTGGATTGAGCGATGCCGAATGGGTTCGTGACCGATATGAGCAATTGGCATTGATTGATGAGAAAAGAATGAGTGCTGTTTGTCATGGCCAATTGTATCAACAAAGAATGACTCGCGCTTTCAACAAGAAAGTTAGAGTTCGAGCATTTGATGTAGGCCAATTAGTGTTGAAACGCATTTTTCCTCATCAAGAGGAATATAAAGGGAAATTTGCACCTAACTGGTAAGGACCATATGTCGTCCACAAAGTACTATCAAGAGGAGCTTTTGGTTCTAGCAGATATGGACGGTAGAGTGTGGCGAAAAGCTATCAATTCAGATGCCGTTAAGAGACTACTACATTTGAAGGATGATACTTCTTTTCTTTATTTCCTTGTAATTGCAGTTTGCTTGTAATCATTGTCGCATTATGTTTTGAAACATTCCCCTTGTACTTGAACTACGTTCGACCTGAATTCTCAAGAATGAGATATGTAGGCGGTCTATGTCAACCTCGGTCGTTTCCTTATCAAAATTCTCTATTTTGACAATTCTCGAGATGGGAACTACATTTGACCTGATTCTTGCCTCAACGGGATACGTAGGCGCCACAAGGGTTCGGTCATATTCCCAGTAAGATTTCCATTTCCCCTCATAATGGAAACTGGGACAGAATTTTTGAGAGGACCTCAAAAATTCTACAAGAAGGGTCATTCCCTACAAACAAGAGTCAAGGATCATATCGAAATGTGCAACTAAGAATAATTTTGAGGAGATCTCAAATTCAAGACTCCCGTGATCATCATCAAATTTGTTTTTGAAACATCTAACTGGGACAAAAATTTTAAGAAGGCCCTCAAAAATTCCATCAAGGATACTCGGACCGTCGAAGTCAACTTCAATTGCCTCAAATTGACGTGTTCTTAAGGGTTTAAAGTTGCCAACAAGCTACCTATCATGTCAAAATCTGAGACAAAGGGTTTTTGTTCGTGTCGTGCATGTCGTGACAGTTAATTGGCAGAGATTTCCTTTAAAACTTTAAAAAGAAAAAAAAACTTTATACCTAGTAAATGTTTTAATTTAAATATGATCTTGTCTTTTGTCTACTGCGATTCATTGGATCTACCAGACAAAGTTCCAGAGATAACGAGACTAGGAGCAAGACGACTTCAACACAGATCAGTGTTCCAAAACTAACATGTTTTTTGTGGATGCAGGGTATAATAAGATCATCCAAATGAGCTATATTTATCAACCAACTAGTTCAAGAGAACATATTCGGCAAATGTCTTATAGTGAGTATAACATCTCTGCTTGACCAAAGAGATATTGATGAAATACGATATTCATAGTCAAAGTCATTCATATTCAAAATGCCAAGAGGGCTATTGCATATTCTAATTGCCAAAAGGGCCATTCAATATTCAAACCGCCAAGAGGGTCATTCATATTCAAAATGCCGAGAAGGCCATTGCATATTAAATTGCCGAGAGGGCCATTCATATTCAAATGCCAAGAGGGCCATTGCATATTCTAATTGCCAAAAGGGCCATTCAATATTCAAATTGCCAAGAAGGGCATCATATTCAAACCTCCAAAAGGGCCATTCATATTACAATTTCCAAGAGGGCAATCATATTCAAATTGCCGAGAGGGCCATCATATTCAAATTACCGAGAGGGCCATTTCATAATCAAATTGCCGAAAGGGCCATTTCATATTCAAATTGCCAAGAGGGCCATCATATTCAAAATGCCGAGAGAGCCATTACATATTAAATTGCCGAGAGGGCCATTCATATTCAAATTGCCGAGAGGACCATAATATTCAAACCGCCGAGAGGGCTATCATGTTCAAACCACCAAGAGGGCCATTCATATTCAAAATACCAAGAAGGCCATTGCATATTAAATTGCCGAGAGGGCCATTCATATTCAGATTCCAAGAGGGCCATTCATATTCAAACTGCCGAAAAGTCCATTCATATTCAAATTGCCAAGAGGCCCATTGCATATCAAAACGCCGAGAGGGCCATTACATATCAAACCGCCGAGAGTGCCATTGTATATTCGGACCATCAAGAGAACCATCAACATATACATCAATCTATTTTACTGCTTCGATATCAAAAGAAGAGTAAATTGAAGAATTATATTGAAAATATGAGATACGAGCTTTATTTGCTTTACGTCAAATTGAAAGAATCTGATGTTAAATATTTAAGGAGAGCAATTAAGGGTGAAAAGACACTCTCTCTCCATTTGAATTATATTTTACGCTAATGAGTTTTATATCAGTCTTTGTCGAGAGCATCCAAGAGGATGAATTCTCAAACCAAACCACAGGTGCGGACCACATCAAAAGGGATGCAGCACAACGTGGGACTTTTCTTATCAGCGAACTGGGACATAGTCCGAAGAGGGGTATCAAACTCTTAGGACGCGAGCTGAGGAGCGATTTCCATCACAATCAAACCACACCCCTATCAAAAGGCATGTGGGTATTCCTTTTGGTTTATCCGCTCCAATTTCGCATCCGGAAAATTTTCCACTCTCACCAGAGGCAGCTTTCCAATCTGAGTGACAATGCACCAAAAGCTTTGGAAATTATGTCTGTGTAAGTTCTTAGTTATGGGTGTGAAGCGCGCCACATTCATGGCTAAGAGGTTGCAAGCCTCTTTTTCATACTCGACTTACTTGTCACTCCTCCAAAACCAAAGGTTATATTGCATAATACATTTCCTTTCCAACCGATCGAGTCGAATTACAAACAGCCTGATTCCTAAGGTCTAAGAATATATAGGCGGGCTCAATGTTGAAAACTCGGTTGTATTCCGACATTCTCTCTTAAATCTTATTCCCGAGCAATCTGATTTGTTCATAATTCGATATCGGGATAACTTCTGAATTCTTTCATAATCGTGCGCCAAATCAAGCGTATCGAACTACAAGAGGCCAGAGTTCTCATATAGCTTGAGATATGTAGGAAACCTAATATCGAGGTTCGGCCATAATTCCTAAAGTCCGTACCAAAATCCCTTCCCTAAAGATGAAGATGTGGTCGGTCAAAATTGGATTCGTCAATTTCATTTGCCTCGAATTGCTTCATCAATCCAAGTCAAATGAGGGATAGCTGTTGACACCCAATTTTTGACCTTCACATTATGGATTAATCATCGAGCTTCTTAAATTCCAAACTATTTGAAATAATTAAGTTATAAAATTCAAAATATTTTCCAAGTCATTTTAAGTAATTTTGTCATTTTTGTAAAGTCTATATAATTTCGTATATATTTAGTATATTTTATTAATATGTAAAAATCGTCTCAAAAAGATTTTAGTTTTACTTAAATACTTGGTTAATTAGTTTAGCTAATTTATAGTTTATATTTTTGAGTTAACTAGTTTATAATTAAATTAATTATTTTATTTCGTTAAGATTAAGAAGCTCAATAATTAATCGATATTATTCGTCTTATTTAACTTTTGGCGGAATTCACCGATTAATTTGATTTGGCCATCTTTTAAAATTCGATTGGCTATAATTGTAATCGAATGGGCCATATCCCCAATTTCAATTTAACTTCTTTTCTACCTCACCTTAAACCCACTTGAGAATCCAGAATTTGGGCCTTTTCAGCAACTTTCCAGCCGGCCCAAATCCCATTAACAGCCCACCAATTCAATTCTAGAATCCCATTCCAGCAAATACAACAATTCCCAGCCCATCAGTACAATACATTCAGCGATCCAAACGACCCCTGTACTCTTCATTCTTCTTCCTTTTCACGCAGAAATAGTACCCAAACCCCACTGCCCATACTGGTCGTCGTCTTCTTCACGCGCAGTGAGCAAAGAAGATCAGAAACCCAGAAATCGCGGACAGCAGCCAAATCGCGAGAAACCAGTGCCCTCATCCAACTACTCTGCGAACCCCATAACCCTAGCAACCTAATCCATCACCCTCACATCTCCTTTTCCCCCCCTTTCGCGGAGTCTCAGAACAGAGAATGACTCCCCATTCCTTTTATTGTTGATCACGAAAAGGAGCAAAGAAAAATTCAAACTTTTCTTTCAAAAATCCAACGGATTTCCCTCCTAAATGGCCCCAACTTCCCCTATAAATAATTTCAAGTGACAGGGAGCAAAAAAAAAGTTGGGAAATTGGATTTAGACAGGTTTTTTGGAGTCCGGTTCTTTGAGAAATACTCGTTTACATTCAAGAAATTTCAAAGTTTCGTGGTGGAAATTGCTTCATCATTAAGCTCATCGTCTGAATTCGCTTCCCCAAGAAAGGTAACCTCATCTCCTGTTGTATTATGTTCCCATGTAATGTGTTGTATATTCCATGCTATGGTGTAGAATCTATTGTTAAATGTATTTGTTTTCGTTAGCGTTGCCCTTTCTGCAAATTTTCGGGCTGCAATATGTTTCTCGCTGATTGAAGTTTCCTCGGCATTGTGTAGATAGAGCAGTTTGCTCGATGTTGTATGTGCCTAGCCGGCCAAGTCTCTGCTTCATTTTGTTTGATTTGATCTGTGGTTCATCTGATTTAAATTCCGAATGTGTTAGCTCTATGGTTTTCTTTTTCCTTATTGTTTACTAGTTGTTTTAGTTTTCCATTCTGACGTTGATTCATCGTTGTAGACTCTCACTAATGCTATCCTAATCTTGTAGCATCTATCTATGTTCCCGCTCGACTCGAACACCATCCATGTCCTTTTGTGTTTCAGTTCATTATGTCATATTTGTAATTCACCTTAATCAAGCTTTAACTTGGTTCATATGCTCGAAGTTGGTCTTTTCCTAAATATGTGTCTTGCCTTTCACATTTTGTCTTCGAAATGGGGTTGCAAAAAATCTGATCGTTGTCTTTCTTTTTTAAGTGTAGCTCTGTTTTGTTCTTTTTTTTTGTTAGTCACTAGTCAAAATCTGAAATTTTATTCAATATTGCAGTTCTTCTTCTTTTAAGTATCCATTTTCATGTTAATATGCTTTTTCATAATCTGAGACGTGTGATAGTATCGCGTGAATCTATTCTCATGTTAGTTTAAGTTAACAGTGTGTTTTTGGCATGATCTTTTCATGCTTCCTTTGATTTAGCCATCATATAGGTCTGTCTGATGAGCATGAATGCTATCCGAATGCTAGTTGAAATCCTATTTGATATCATGTTCGTACTTTCAATTTTATTCTCATACAGTCTTGAATCTGTGACTTGATATTAAAAATGATCAAAGATTATTGTA